TTAGTCCAATTCTCCTTTGAACCTGTTTGTGACAGCTTTCTGGTTCCATCATGAATGAATGAATTAAACATTTTGATATGTGTTTATTCTCTTTGTATATGAGCATCATGATTTTACCTTTTTTTTTTTTTTAAGAAAAAGCTGTCTTTTAAAACTGTTGTTGTTTAGTCACAAAGGTGTGATTGACTCTTTTGCGACCTCAAGGACTGTAGCCTGCCAGGCTCCTCTGTTCATGGGATTCTCCAGGCAAGAATATTGGAGTGGGTTGCCATTTCCTTCTCCAGGGGATCTTCCCCACCCAGGGATTGAACTGGCCTCTCCCACATTCTGGGCGAATTCTTTACTGCTGAGGCACCGGGGAAAACTAGGGCAGGAAAAATTATGTTTTTCCCTCTACTCACCTAAGTGTTCAGGCTGGGGCACTGTCAGTTAGATTGAAAAAAGGCAGGTTAACAAGAAAAAAGCAAACAGTATTGTGTAAATAACACCTGGGCATACCCAGTGATGAGTAACTCAAGGAGGTGGTTAGAACTAGGGCTCTGTATGTTTACCTAATTTAGTAGGGGAAGGGAGGAGTAGAAAGGGCACTTATGGAAGAGCAAATGGACACTTAGAAGAACAGATGGGAGATATGCTGTTTTGTGACATAGTCTGGGTGAGATGCCCACCTCTGCTCTCCCAGAAGGGAAGATTAGAGTTGCCCTGGGAAAGGGGATTTAGGGACACTCAGATTCTTTGGGGAGGCTCTGCTTTTAGGCAGATAAGGGATTTCAGGAACTCAAGTGCATTCAGCTGAAATTAATCCTTGTGCATATGCAAAGTGACATATTTGGAGGTGGCATGTCCTGGTCCCCAAAATTATAAAACTCATTTCTTTGTATTGTTATCATCTCTAGAATAGTGCCAAGTGTAGAGTATGTTTCAATTAGTGTTTATTAAATAAAAGATTGCAGGGTTGCAAAACTGGACAACAGACATACATAAAATCAGTATGAGGCTTCCCTGGTGGCTCAGTGGTAAAGAATCCACCTGCCAACGCAGGAGATACGGGTTTGAGCCCTGGGCTGGAAAGATCCCTCATGCTGAGGAGCAGCTAAGCCCGTGCACCACAGCTACTGAGCCTGTGCTCCACAGCCCGATAGCCACAGCTACTGAAGGCTGCCCACCCCAGAGGCCGTGCTCTGCATCAAGAGAAGGCATTCACAGTTAGAAGCCCGACTACTGCGACTAGACGGCAGCCCTCGCTCTCCACAGCTAGAGTTAAAGCCCACACAGCAACACAGACCCAGCCCAGGCAAAACTCAACAAATAATATAATTATTTTTAAGTTAGATAAATAAATACAATCAGAATGGCCTGAAGGATCTCCCAGACAATGCCCAGAATTACAGAAAGGGGACCCAGCAAACTGTCTGCCCAACATCTTGACTTTCACAATTTTTCCTCACATAAAAATGGTGCCAAGACATGCTATGGATGACAGCAGAGACCATTCTAAGCTTGTGTCATATCAGGACGTTTTCATAAGGAAGCTTAACATTAACTTGGGGTTTAAAATAATGAATAGGGATTATTTGGGGCTTCCCAGGGGGCTCAGCGGTAAAGAGCCTGCCTGCTATGCAGGACACGTGGGTTCGATCCCTGAGTCAGGAAGATCCCCTGGAGGAGAGACTGGCAATCCACTCCAGTATTCTTGCCCAGAGAGTCCCCATGGACAGAAGAGCCTGGCAGGCTATTGTCCATGGGGTTGCAAAGAGTTGGACATGACTGAGTAACTAAACAACAACAAAAAACTTATTAATACATTATTATATAGGGTAGTTTGGAGAGGACAGACATCTATAGCCAGACAGCTGGAAGTATAAAAATGGAGTTCAAAAATGTGTTGGTGTCTGGACTTCCCTGTGGTCCAGTGGCTAAGGCTCCATGCTCCCAATATAGGGGGCCCAGGTTCGATCCCTAATCAGGGAACTGGATCCCATGTGCCACAGCTGAGTGTTCACGTGCTGCAACTAAGAACTAGTACAGCCAAATAAATAAATAAAAATACATATATTTTTTAAATGTGTTAGCGATAGAGATAAGGATGTCATAATTATCACAATAGTTGTTTTGGTTGAAGTGAGGGGACAAAATCAAATACTGAAAACATTTTAAGTCATATTATCTATTACCTTAATTTTCTTTTACTTGATTCGCCGGCATTTTGTCCCTCAAAAGACTGTGAGGCCCTTGGGGTAGGAACTATGTCTTATTCATGGTTGTTTTCCAGATCCTGGCAAAGTACCTGATGTGGGCACTCAGTAAATATTTGGTGAAGAAAAAGAACATACAGAGAAAGGAGAAAACACTTTTTTTTCAGAGAGGTGGTAAGGGCAAAATGGATGATGCTGAAATGTTCTAATATAATGGTGAGAGAATCTATGGCCATTTTGTTGGATGGCTCCCGGTCTTTTCAGGAAGGCATTTCCTGAGCTGCAGAGCATCACGTGATTGACAGCAGGGTTCAGGGCTTAGAGTGGAACAGTTTGGAACAGCTGAAGCCAGAAATGTGCTCAGGGGACTCCCATGTGCTTGCTTTTTTTTTTTTTTAGTGCTGTTCCGTGTGTTTGGAATGCACCCTCTGGCAATCATTGCCCTGCCTCTCTCATCTCTTACTTGGCCTACTCAGCTTTCAAAGCCTAACTCAAATGCCACCGACTTTTCTGGGAACATTCTCTCTTGATACTATTTCAAGTTAGTCATTCCTTTTTCTATGTGTATACTTCTCTCCTTGTTAATCCCACTAGATTATAAGTTACTTGAAGATCAGAAGAGAGTTTTACTTCATCTGAATACCCTCCTCCTGACCTGGTGGGGAGCAGTCATTCCATAAATGTTTGCTGATGTTTAAATCAAGTAAGTTTAGGAATATGCTTGCTAAGTGGCAGCAAGGGCATAACGGAAGACAAGATCAGCATGGTTTTTGTGATTAGTAGGAGGTGATGGGGACTTCCCTGGTGGTACAGTGGTTAAGACTTCGTGCTCTCAATGCAGGGGGCATGGATTTGATTCCTGGTCAGAGGCCCAAGATCCCACATGCTGCATAGCTTGGCCTAAAAAAAAAAAAAAAAAAAAAAAAAGCAATAAAAACAACCCAGGTGGTGATGGATAACAGAACCAGGAAATGTTTCAAGAACTACAGGTCATGATGCTGTGTGCTTCTTCGCTCAATTGTGTCCACCTCTTGTGAGCCCATGGATTGTAACCTGCCAGGCTCCTCTGTCCATGGGATTCTCCAGGCAAGAATACTGGAGTAGGTTGCCATTTCCTTCTCCAGGGGAAATATTCCTTACCCAGGCATCCAACCCAAGTCTCCTGAAGTGCAGGCAGACTATTTACTGACTGAGCTACAAGGGAAGCCCTCGTACAGGTCATGATGCAGGCAGATGAAAATTCAGGAAAAATGATTTTTTTTTCTGTTGGGGAAATCTAAACTTTGGTCTCCCTAGCAGTGAAAACAATGACATGAAGCACATGTGTATTTTATGGAAGGAAAAGACATAGTTTCTTCCCACCTAGCTTACTCTTACTAATACACAGTGAAGTCAAAAAGAAGGAAAGTCACCAATGATTCCCTCAGTATCAGACCTGGACTGTAACATTAACTTCTATTCCTTAACTTCAGCTGGTCTCTGAACTTCCGTAAAGGCAAAACACATCTTTTTGTTTCACATTTTCTCCCTCATTTCCAGACTTTCTGGAAGAGCAGTTTATGAGCAGTGAAATGAATGCGGGTGGGGAAAGGAGAGGTAATCGTGATAACCAGAACAGTAAAAAGAATGGCTTCAGATGGCCACGTTCAAACCCTGGTTCTGCTACCTGCCTGTAAAATGGGGACAGATAACGCTTGCTTGGAAAAACTGTGTGAGAAATAAACTAGATGTAAAAGCACTTAGCACAAGGAGTGTATGTACCTTGACCAGATCATGTGCAAGTGGTAGGAAATGCAAAGTGAGGAAGAAAGGTATGCAGGGGAAAGGTAAGACTCCTCCCCTCCCTAGCTTCTGTTCTCTCCATTTCCCTCAGAGTCAACTCTGGAGACCATTCTGTGCATTTACTTCTTTCCTGGGCTCAACTGTGAGAACTAGAGTCTGTAATTCAAATTTAAAATCCCTTACTGCACAGGGAACTATACTCAGTATTTTGCAATAACCTATAGGGAAATCTGAAGATTTTATATATATATAAGTATATAATATATAAGCCCACATTATATATATTTATTAAGTTATATAAATATATATTTTATATATATAAAATATGGGCTTCCCAGGTGGTGCTAGTGGTAAAAAAACCTGCCTGCCGATGCAGGAGACATAAGAGACCTGGGTTCGATCCCTGGGTTGGGAAGACCCCCTGGAGGAGGGCATAGCAACCCACTCCAGTATTCTTGCCGGGAGAATCCCCATGGACAGAGGAGCCTGGTGGGCTACAGTCCATAGGGTCACACAGAGTCGAACATGACTGAAGCGACTGAACACACACACACACTTATACATAAAATATATGTATGATTATATATATAAAATCACTGAATATATATATTATATAAATCTATATATTAAATTTATATATTATATAAATCACTGAATCACTGTGCTGTACTTCCTGAAACTAACATGATATTGTAAATGAACTATACTTCAATTAAAAAAATGCATATGAAATTTTAAAAATAAAAATAAAATTCCTTACCTCTAAAATGGAAATGTTCTGAGCATTTAATGGAACAATTACTACTTTATAGTTAAAAGGCTACACAAATATAAGGAGCTGTTATTCTCAGGAGAAGGAAGGCCTAGACAAACATAGTGTATTTAATTTTGTCTAGAGCAGAGGTCTCCTGGACTCAGCCCCAGGCTTGACTGCTCTGCTCCACTTCCTTTCCTCATCTTACCCGTAGCAGGAGGGGAGGCTGAGAGCCACACAGAGTGACTCTGCCTCTGTCTGTCCCACAGGTGATCACTTACTCCAGCCATCACGTCTACAATAACTTGACTGAGGAACAGAAGGGCCGAGTGGCCTTCGCTTCCAATTTCCTGGCAGGAGATGCCTCCCTGCAGATTGAGCCTCTGAAGCCCAGTGATGAGGGCCGGTACACCTGCAAGGTGAAGAATTCAGGGCGCTATGTGTGGAGCTACGTCATCTTAAAAGTTTTAGGTAAGACAGAGTGCCCCAGTAAGTGCCTGCATCTTATTAATAAGGGATAGGCAAATGCATCACAGTGGTAGAAACATCTTCAATACTTCATACTTTTAAAAAATTATTTTGTTTATTTTTGGCTGTGCTGGGTCTTCGTTGCTGTGTGGATTTTTCTACAGTTGCAGCAAATAGGGGCTACTCTCTAGTGTTGGTGTGTGGCCTTCTCATTGCAGTGGCTCCTTTGGCTATAGAGCATGGACTCTAGGGCGCGAGGGCTTCAGGACTTGCAGCGCCTGGGTTCTAGAGCACCGGCTCAGTAGTTGTGGCACACGGCTTGTTGATCCCAGGCATGTGGGATCTTCCCGGATCAGGGATCGAAGCCATGCCTCTTGCACTGGCAGGAGGATTCTTTACCACTGAGCCACCAGGGAAGCCCGCAATACATCGTATTGTACAGACATCACCTAGTCCAGTTCCCTGGGGAAAAGCGTGTATATTTTGTATTTCAGCCATAATGAAAGAGAATCAATTTTCCATGGTAACTCATTGTGCTGTGCTTAGTCATTCAGTTGTGCCTGATTCTTTGTGACCCCATGCACCGACCAGGCTCCTCTGTCCTTGGGATTTTTCAGGCAAGAATACTGGGGTGGGTTGCCATCTCCTCCTGCAGGGGATCTTCCTGACCCAGGGATTAAACCTACATCTCCTGTGTCTCCTGTGTTGCAGGCGGATTCCTTATCCTCTGAGCCATTGAGGTACCTCATTATAAGAGTTAAATGTCCTCTCAAGTTTAAGTAGTATCCTCACAGTGAAACAAATCTCTCAGATCTGAGTCAAATCCATTTCTTCGTTTTGTGACACAGCAAAGAGTCTAACTTCTTCTTAACTGCTTCCAAGTTCATGAACTTCTGTCCCTGTTTCAGTGTTAATAAAATCACACTGGCACTTTCCTGGTGGTCCAGTGGTTAAGACTTCTTGCTCCCGGTGCAGGGGCCTGGCTTTGATCCCTGGTCAGGGAACTAAATCCTATGTGCCACAACTAAGACCCAGCACAGCCAAATATATTAATATTTTAAAAACATAAAGTAAAATCACACTCAACTTTCCTAAAATCTCCAATTATAAAAGGTTTTTTGGAATTCTCCATTGGTCCAGTGGTTAGGACTCTGAGCATCCACTGCAGGGGGCACAGGCTCAATCCTGGTCAGGGAACTAAGATCCCACAAGCCTGGCAGCATGGCCCCCCCCCAAAAATAATGCAGATTCCTGGGCCCACAGTGAGTCCCACTGAGTCCAAGTAGGGCCCCAGGAATTAGAAAAAAAGATCAAAATATTTTTTTCTTTGAGAAGTGATGAGGGAGTTTCTGAGGCAACCTCTCTAAGTTACATCAGCAACACTGGAAACAGCTGGAATTGGCTGTGTATGTGTGCAGGGGATGGAAGTGGGTATATTTTGGGGAGTGAGATGTAAAGCACGCTAGGTAACAAAGAACTATTAAATCCACACTCAAAAGTTGACCATTTGGAGGAAAAACAAGTCAACAGGATGTTGTTCACCGGTGCCAGGGGATCTTTGACTTTTTTTTTTTTTTTTTGCTAGTGAGACCATCAAAGCCCAAGTGTGAATTGGAAGGAGAGCTGACAGAAGGAAGTGACCTGACTTTGCAGTGTGAGTCATCCTCTGGCACAGAGCCCATTGTGTATTCCTGGCAGCGAGTCCAGGAGAAGGGGGGAGAGGATGAACGTCTGCCTCCCAAATCTAAGATTGGTAAGTCATCTTTTCACTGGTCCACGGAGACAACAGGACAGTTAGTCCTCTCTCAAAACCATTCTGAATCTGGTTTTGTCAGCACCTCACAAAGATCTTGAATATACTGCTGAACTTCACTGTTTCTATTTTTCACGCCTAACTGGGAACAGAAAAATATCTGTCTTTTCTTTCCCCAAATGGCAAAAATAAAAGTGGTAAGGAGATTAGGAATAAATGGACTCTATAAATCCATTCTAGTTACTGTGTTTAGTATCCCTTAAATGTTCAGAATCTTTTGTGACTTTTGGGGGTGCACTGCAGTTTAAAAGAATGTTCACCACCTTTCTTCCCACATTCTGGATCAACTCTATCACCTCATCTTTAGCAAACTGTATCATAGGATCTTAGGTCAGTGACACAATAAAGTAGACGATAAATACAGACCTGTCACTGGGGGATCACGGTCATCTTTCTGCTTGTGTAGACTACAACCACCCTGGACGTGTCCTGCTGCAGAATCTCACCATGTCCTCCTCTGGGCTCTACCAGTGCACAGCGGGCAATGAGGCTGGGAAGGAGAGCTGTGTGGTGCGAGTGACCGTACGGTGTAAGTACCCAAAGTGTTGATGTGGTTTTGTCCCTGCACTGTGGTGGTTCAGTGTAAAACATTTTTAATCACAGGTAAGAGTCTGGTCAAAAGCTTCATCTCCAGAAGGACATGGTTATCACTGAAATAAATTCAGTAGTTGCCAAGGACTATTCAACAGTTGCAGCTAACTCTAAATTTACAAGTATGTGTGAATTTTACGGCCCCCTAAAGAATTTATTTTATCCATGAGGGAACCAAACAGAGGTTTCCTTTATAAATGCAAATTTCCCTTACAGCGGGTAACTTCTACTGTTTTCAGAGCTTCTCTAGTGTTGCTGTTGCTCAAAAATGATCAGTTTAGGGACTTCCCTAGAGGCCTAGTGGTTAAGACTCTGTGCCCAATGCAGGGGGCACAGACTCCATCCCTGATCAGGGAACTATCTAATAGATTATGCATGCTACAACTAAGATCCGGCACAGCCAAATAAATAACAAATATTAAAAAACCTAATCAGCCCCAAATAATCCTAATGTCAACAAGGCATATTTTAGGGTGACTCTCCTGCTCCCCATCGATATCAGGAGGGATAGTCATACACACCCAGAGAAGGTAAGTGGGGAACTCAGGGAGGCAGATATGAAGATCTGGAAATACTCATCCAAAGCTTTATGTATTTTAAGTCTATGTATTGCATAACTTCGGAGAAGGCAATGGCACCCCACTCCAGTGCTCTTGCCTGGAAAATACCACAGATGGAGGAGTCTGGTAGGCTGCGGTCCATGGGGTCGCTAAGAGTCAGACATGACTGAGCGACTTCACTTACACGCATTGGGGAAGGAAATGGCAACCCACTCCAGTGTTCTTGCCTGGAGAATCCCAGGGATGGGGGAGCCTGGTGGGCTGCCGTCTGTGGGGTCGCACAGAGTCGAATGCGACTGAAGTGAATTAGCAGCAGAATTGCATAACTTATGTTTGGTTTTGCTTTGTTTCTGAGAAAACAGATGTACAGAGCGTGGGCATGATTGCAGGAGCAGTGACAGGTATGGTGGCCGGAGCCCTGCTGATTTTCCTCTTGGTGTGGCTGTTGATCCGACGGAAAGACAAAAAGAGATATGAGGAAGAAGAGAGACCAAATGAAATTCGGTAAATCTCCCACAGAATCCCCTTCCGCACCTAGGCTACCTTTCTAGGGCCAGCTCCATAATGACCAGCCAACAAAACTGTCCCATTTCCTCATAACCTTGAATCTGTTACAAGGATTATTCTGGCTGGTAAGGACTTGCAGCCCGGGGCAGAAGGACGGTTTACCCTGACTGTCTTGTGAAACTGTCTGCAACAGAGACTTAATAGATAAACTTCACGTTACTTCTGATTGCCTTCCACTTAAAAAGCCATACAATAAAGGAATGGGCCTAGCCATTTCATGGGCCTTGAAAGAGTCTCTGAAGGCAGACTCCGAGTCAAGGGGAGTGCTGTGTGGACACCAGGTGGGGAGTTCCCGGACCCCCACCCCGCGTCCCAGTCACAGGGTTGACCTTGCGGATGCACATCCGCCTGGGCCCACGTGAGGGCTCAGGATGCAGGGGGAGTCCATAGTTCCCTAAGTGGTAACTCGAGGTTTCCAGCTTGAGGAGTTGATGGATGCGGCAGCCTCCGAAAGCCGCAGCCAGAGCGGAAACTTTCACAATCTTGTGATCCTGACATCTATCTTTGGTGTTTTTCCCCTTCAGAGAAGATGCGGAAGCCCCGAAAGCCCGCCTGGTGAAGCCCAGCTCCTCTTCCTCGGGCTCGCGAAGCTCCCGCTCTGGCTCCTCCTCCACGCGCTCCACCGCCAACAGCGGCTCCCGCAGCCAGCGGACCCCGTGCGCCGAGGCGGCGCGCCGGCCCGGGCTGGCCGCCCACGTCTATGGCCCTCTGGGGCCGGAGGCCAGAGGTTCTGAACCAAAGAAAGCCCCCCACGCTACCCTGACCAAAGCAGAGAACACCCCCAGCACGATCCCCAGCCAGAGCAGAGCCTTCCAAACTGTCTGAGTTAGAGCGGACTTGACTCGCCGGCTTTTCCCAGGCGTCAGGGCTCTTCTGGTCATCGCCGCTCAGTCACCAGCCACACGACCCGCCTCGAGCCCAACGACGGGTCATTTAAGTAGCAGCGACCACTGCACGGAACAGATTCAAATGAACACTTTTCTTACATGACACCAAACGAGGAAAAGGATGTAAGCTGTTCATCTCCAGAAAGGCACCTCACTGTGCCTTTAGACCAAAGTGGGGGTGGGGGGGGATGGGGGCCCAAATCTGGGTGTTTGGGGACCAGGAACCATGGTGAGAGAGTTGGGGAAAGGGGAAGTGAACACACTTAGAACTTCTCACTTGGGCAGTTTTATTTCAACACGTTGACTCACCATTGTCAAGAAATGAGGTGTTGTTCATCAATTTTCTATGCATTTCTGCAAACCTACTGAATTATTATGACTATTCAGAGTCAAGCAGAACCTACAGCCTTATATTACACCTATTTGCACCATGAGAAACTCCAAAAAAGGAAACACATCTCTTCTATCCTGACTTGACTTCATTTACCACAAAGTTTGGGTATTAATTTCAAGAGGAGTTGAAATAGTGGGAGATGGAGAATGACTGAATTTTTCCGCGACTTACTGGTTGAACACCAATAATCCACTGTCAATCTTCCTACTTATATTGAACCATAAAAGAACTAAAAAAGGAGTTCAAAACGTAATGAGGGACTGTGAATAACTTTCCATTTTTATGTTCAGAGGGCCACTGACAAATATCAGAAATATATGCTGGAATAATTGTGGATTTTCCCTCAAAGTGGATGTCTTTAAGGATTTTCTGCTGGGTATCTGTGAAACAAGAAAACTAGGTCTTTTAACATTTAACAGTCTCCTTAGAAGGAAGTCTTTGAGAGAAAAGGTCTTTTCAGGATGCTGGAAGATTATCCAACAAACCATTACAGTCTCTTCTTTCTGTGAACGTATGAAATCAGAATTTCAAGACTGACTAGACCAGAAAGGAAGATTAGATCAGTTTTCTCTTAGTATGTCAAGGAGTGTCATCAGAAGTTCAGTACTGCACCAAACTTGGGAGTTTCCTCCCATTTCTTTCCTTTCAGGAGAAGGATGTGAACATGGGACTTTTATTGATTCTAGGCCTTAAATTATCAAAGAGATCAGGGATTGTCAACATTTCCTGGTGGCACTGCATAGACATCATACCATTCCCTCCTGAGAGGCTGAGACAGACAGAAATTCAGTACTTTCCCAGTTTAGCCTGTAAGGAAGCCTAGCTCTAGGATGGAAGGAAAGGAAATAAACATTTAGGGATGAGATGGTGAGGATAACTAGTGGGTGGCAGGGGGATCTGGGTTAGTGCCTGTTAAATATTGTCGGCATCTTGGAAACATTCTCGGAAATGATTCACCAGGATAGCTCTCACAAGAGCTGACTCATGAGAGAAGAAAGGTGGGGTCTGTGAAATAAAAAGAAAGCAGCCTCCCATACAATAACTTGCCTTTTTAATAGTTTTGACTACTCTGCTAGTCAAATTCATCCTACAATTCATTCTTTGGCAAGAATGCCAAACCTGAAATAGCCCTTCAAAGACTCTAAAGCAAATGTCAACAGGTCACAGCATTGGTAGAGCAAAATGTTTATTATTATTAAAAGGCCAAGAAGTCCCTGGCAGGGCAGTGGTTAGGACTCTCTGCTTTCACTGCCAAGGGTGCAGTTTCAGTTGCTGGTCAGGGAACTACGGTCCTGATAGGTGAGTGGGACAGCCAGAAATGATAAATAAATTAAACAATGTTAAAAAGGCAGCAGGCTATGAGAAAGGAAAAGTAGTGCTAAATGTGGTGATGAAATCCCTGTTTGTTTTGGGAATCTAAGTTCCCCAACCAGGGATCAAATCTGTACCCCCTGCATTGTGAGCAAGGAGCCTTAACCACTGGACCACCAGGAAAGTCCCGATGAAAGCCGTGTTTCTAAAATGGGAACCAGGTGCTTAAAGGGGAAAAGTAGACCCAGGATTTTGTCCCATTTTGTTTTCATTTTTACTTCTAATTCTCACATACTACAAATGCATTTCTAAAGTCCTTTAAGAGGCGGGTTTTACCCTTGACTAAAAGTTTCATTTTGAGTTTTGTCTTCCTCTAAAAAAAAAAGTTGGGGGAAATTCCCTGCAGTCCAGTGGTTAGGGCTCTATGCTTTCACTGCCAAGGGTGCTGGTTCAATCCCTGGTCGGGGAACTAAGAGCCCACAAGCAGCACAGCTCCGCCAAAAAAAAGTTGGGAAATGAGACACCGAGGAAGCAAAGAACGTCTGCCATTAGTTTAAGAGGGCTGGCATATTTGGAATGCTTCTTATACTAACACTGCCTCCTTGTAAGATATAAATTTCTTATTTACTCCACCAACTTATTCTGGTTGTGTGGTGTCCAGGCGACATATCAATTCTGCTGTGTAATTCAGAGAATTCTCATTCCAAGAGTATCTGAGCCCAACTGAGTATTCTGTGGCAGCTGCAGCAGTGCCATCACTGGCAATTTGCTCTTATCATTATTTATTACCTTTGAACCTAAGGGTTCCTGCCTATGCCTCTGAAGGTGGGAGTCAGTCCCCTTTGCATGAAAAGGTTTAAACAGGTTAGTTATTAGAAGACTAAAATACCAGTTGAATATCCGTATTTTGGAAATCTATTCACACTGGAGATCTACAGAAATGCCACAGATTATTACCTGAAATCAGAAATTCTAGGAATTGAAGATTCTGAGATAAGATACTGAAGTGTTAATAGTGATGGTGTGCTTGCTTCTCTTTCAGTCAGGCTTTTGGGTTCAGATACGACAGGCTCGGGTTTAAAATAAAGTTTGAACCATTACTGGTGTCAAACCATATTCCGTTAACCTTGCAAGTCAAATACATTCGATTCTTTAATATAAAACAAAAAAGGATAAAATAGAGGGTAGAAGAAAAGGTATTTGTAGAAAGAAGATACAGATGGAATGATGTGGATGTTTAGAGAATAGCCATTTCAATAAAATATATATACACTAAACTTAAAATTGTAAAATAATTAAGTGATGCCTTTGTTACACTGTATAAAAAGAATTTCAAAACTGCCATTGCAAAAAGACATAATTTTGCTTGATTTCCGGTGTTAAGCTGTTTATATTTCAATTTTAACTTCAAGTTGCCTTGTCAATGGGATTGTGTTTGATCACAAAAACCAAATATTTATTACTGATGCATCTGTGTCAGCAATTTAAAAATAAATAAGTGAAGGTGACACTATAGGAGAGGTTGAAGCTCATATAATCTGCACTGGAAATTTATTTATTAGCTTGCTGCCAAGTGAAGAAAAGAAGAACTCAGACTGCATATGATGTATTATTATTTATTTTAGTCACAAATAAATCAAGCACTTTTTTCTCACAAGGCAAGATACTAAGTAGTCCTAGACAGGCAAAGTGATGACAAAGTTCATGACAATTTCTGCCCTTAAGGACTTAATCAAAATAACAAATAATATTTAATAAGCAATATTTTATGCCAAGGTGAAGTCCCAATAAGAAAGTACACACTAAGAGGTTCAAACAAATCTGGAAAAAACAGTTACCAAATTAAATGAGCTAATATATACAAAGCCCTTAGAATAATGATTGGCCTGTGACAGGCACTCAACAAATGTAAATCATAACCCTCTTCCCCAGCCAGAAGTCCTCGGGTTCAGACTCCAGTACTGACTGTAGCCCTTGAAACCTTGTGCATTTTAAAGAGGTGGAGACAGGACATTTATCATAATCCGAACTTTAAATACATAAACTGTGACTCATTCTAGTTAAAACGAAGAGTCTCTGAATCCTCGAACATGTTTTGAAAATGACCAGAGACCATAAAGGAAGCTTATCTGCTCAGCTTTCTGCAATCACTGCTATTAGGTGCAATTCCCCAAACCCGTGGAGTTGAGCCTTCATTCTATCTACCACTGCTTCATATATTGTAGGTAGTTCAGAGCTAAGTTTAAAAACCTGCAAAACGTAGGGTGTGGTTCACATTGTACTTGATAAATTGGGTGGGGAGAGGAAGTCTGCAGATGTTAAAATTGAAAAAAAGCCTGCCTCAGCACACGTCTTTTGCTTTCTGCAGTTCGAGTTACATGAGCTTCCAGGAAGGAAATTACTAATTTAAAAACACCAAATAATCTGGAATTAAGAGCTAGGCTCCACTTTAGCTCAGCCAGCTGTTTAACTTCCCACAAATAACATCTCTGAACCTCATTTCTCTCCTAACATAGCAATGAATGCTATGTCTCAAGGAACTGTCTTGATGATTAAATAACAAATGAAAGCACACTGTACCCCCATGAAAGCATCATATAAAAGGAACTCCTTGAAAAATGGGGAGAAATTAGGTGTGTACTTCCATGGACTCAAGCCCACATTTCCCTCCAGAAGGCAAAGAAAGAAAGAAAATCCTTTGATCCAATATTCGACTCTGTCTCTAGGCTTTACTGGCTTTGACAAGGGCAAGGTAACCCCTTTCTGTCAGCCTCTAAGTCTGGAGACGTCTCTAATTCCAGCCACACCACTGAAAGTTCTGCTAGGCAGTCTTAAAAAACCCTTTTCACCTATTTGTGCCCACTCATCTACTAAACAGGAACAGTACAGTCTGTTTGAAAGAGCACACTGGAAAGCATTCAACGTGGTGAGAAAGGCTTAACAAGGCCCCAAACACCACACCATGCGCCACAATTTGAAATTCTAGGTACCCTGTTTTATGCGCTCCACTCGTTCAGTAACCTTTTCAACGCCTCTCTGCCAGGTCGCTCGGATAGTTTTTGACGAAAGTCACGGCAGGAAATGTATTACCTCATATTACCGAGAACAGGAGGCTCAGGAAGTCTAAATACAAGGACATGGGGCTACCGGAAGCCAGGTTCCTAACGCCTGGATCATTTACAAGGAGAGAACTCGCTAGTTTTTCTTTAAAAAAACTTAACTGAAAAGTGCGGGGGCCCGGGCGGGTGGAGGAGGGGCCAAGCCAAGAAGCCCCATCTATTCTCGGCGGGAGATTAGGGGCAGCAGAGGCATCAGCGCTCCAAAAAGCGAGTTTGGCCATCTGTTTCGCTGAGGATCCAGACACAGCATCCGACCCCGGAGGCTGAGAAGTCGAACCCCTCCAATCTCTGCGTCGGGGTCAGCCGGCCTCCAGTTTCCATGAAATGAGGTGCTAGCGGCCTGCGCGGCTAACCTGTCGCACCCTGCGCAGAGGCGAAACCCGCAACTTCCCTTCCTTCCGCCACGGCCGCTGGCCGGCTCCTTCCATCCCTAGATCTGGGTGCCACTGGGCAAGTTACCCTCCCAGCGCCCTGGGGTAGGAACGTCCGACTCCGCCGCTTTGAATCAGCCTTAGACTAGAGCCACGGTGGCTATGTGGGTGTGTGGCCTCCGGGAGGTCCTAGAAAATCACCCGTAAGGCCAAGGTGGGAGTCGTGCAAGAGAATGGTGGGGGAGGGGCGCAACCTTAGCCGCCATTTTGTCCTCGCTCCACTTCCGTCTTCTCTCCCCGGCTCCCGCGGCCGGACCCCTCCCTGCAGGCCCTGCGCTCTAGCTCCCGTGGTTCCGCGTGAGCGGGATTGCGGGTCGCTCTGCTCTTATTGGCTGGATCCAGATTGGCCCGCCCCGCTTCCTCCCCCTCCTTCTGTCCCTTCCGCCTGAGCTTTCTGGGGACGCATGCGCAGGGGCAGACGCGCCCTTCCTCCCCACCGCAACCCTCCGCCAGGGGTGACTGAGGACTCCCGCGCGCGGGCTCCGTCGGCCCCACCCTCCCTTTCCCCGGGGCCATTCGGAGAGCGGGGGCGAGAATGAAAGTTCCAGAACGCTGCGGTGAGTGCGTCATCGCGAGGCGGGGCGGGCTGCGGTCGTGAGAGGGAGGCCTGAGCGCTAGAGCCGGGTTCGTCATTGGGTCTTGTGGAGGTGGCCGCGCCCCCATTGGCTAAGGAAGATATGATGGGCACCGGCAGGGGTGGGCCCCTTCTGGAAGGTTCTGAAGCAGGGTATAAGAGACGGGGCGGCGGGCGGAAACCGGTCTCATTGGACGCACCGGCAGCATTCCAGATTGCTGACTTCTTCAGCATAGCCGGCCCTACGCTTTTAGTAAGTAAGGCCTACGTATTTTTTCCTTCGATGGTTTTTTGGGAGCATGTAGGCCGCTGCAAGCTGCATGGATTTGCGGCGGCTCGGGACTTTCTGAGCATCTCAGGCAGGGGGTGGTGTGTGTGGCAATTCTTTTGCCTGGATTGGGGGGCTTTGTTGTCGAGGGGAGGCGGCAGCTCAGTGTTCCTATAGGGACGGAGGAGCGGGGCACGGAGGGAAGGCGGCTTGGAAGCTATGCGGTGAGAAAGGGGCCGCACCCGTCTACAGGGCGTGGAGCCAGCGTCTTAAGAGTCGGCGGCTCCCGGTTTCCTTGTTCGAAGACCCAGTGTTCTTAAAAGAGGAAGTCGTCATTGGCTCTCCCCCAAGATGGGGGAGGGGGCTTCAGGGCATTTGCAGGCCTTGTGGCGTTATGTACGGGTGGGGGGGGCAGGGCTAAGGTTCAGCCTGGGGCGCGGGACCACGTGTTCGCTATGCCGCAGAAGAGACCCTCCTTGATGGGTTTTCTGTCTGCGGCGGCCTCAGCGGTTGGCAAGGCAACCTTACTGCAGCACTTTACGCTTGCTGTGACTCTCCCGCGTGATTATTTCTGACAAGGGCAGTTTCTTGGGTGAGATGCTAAGTATAATTTTCAGAGTGGTCATAGTAGGTTGCGTTTACTTGGTAAATGTCTTAGTGCTTAATCCGCTTTTTTTAAACCACGTGTTTTTTTTTCTCTCTTCTTTAGCAACCATGTCTAAGGGACCTGCAGTTGGCATTGATCTTGGCACCACCTATTCTTGTGTGGGTGTTTTCCAGCACGGAAAGGTGGAAATAATTGCCAATGATCAGGGGAACCGAACCACCCCAAGCTATGTCGCCTTTACTGATACCGAACGATTGATCGGTGATGCTGCAAAGAACCAGGTCGCAATGAATCCCACCAACACGGTTTTTGGTAAGCTTTAATTGTAATGTGAATTTGAAGGATTTAGGCAGTGTGTAATTGGGGAAGCTGTTACTGTTATGTGTGAGGCGGCCATGAAGTCCTTGAGAATAAGAAAAAACCTGTAGGAAACTTGATTATCCTTTTAAAATCTAATTGTATCATGGGTATTCAGAAGTTGAATCCATTTAATTATGTGAACTTTACAGGCATTTAGACAGGGTTCTTAATGAAAAGATGTTGTACAATAGAATTCAAAGTAACAATTAGTATTTGATATCTTTGATAGATGCCAAGCGACTTATTGGACGAAGATTTGATGATGCTGTTGTCCAGTCTGATATGAAACATTGGCCCTTCATGGTTGTGAATGATGCTGGCAGGCCTAAGGTTCAAGTAGAATACAAGGGAGAGACAAAGAGTTTTTATCCAGAGGAGGTGTCATCCATGGTCCTGACAAAGATGAAGGAAATCGCAGAAGCCTACCTTGGGAAGGTGAGCCACATACTGCAGGAGGATGTGGAGGTTACCAGATTTCTTGGGACTGTGGGGTTCTGGCTGACTCAAGGGTGAGTAGTAAAACCAGAATGGTGAAGGTGTATCTTTGCATATCCGACTTGTTTAATCTTTTTTTTGCTAGACTGTTACCAACGCTGTTGTCACAGTACCTGCCTACTTTAATGACTCTCAGCGTCAGGCTACCAAAGATGCTGGAACTATTGCTGGACTCAACGTACTGCGAATCATCAATGAGCCAACTGCTGCTGCTATTGCCTATGGCTTAGACAAAAAGGTACATACATGTTTTATGTATGTCTGAATCAAAACTGATTTGAGTCATCACAAACAGATGAAAATAAGTTAACTGTATTTTAACTTTCAGGTTGGAGCAGAAAGAAATGTGCTGATCTTTGATCTAGGTGGTGGCACTTTTGATGTGTCAATCCTCACTATTGAGGATGGAATCTTTGAGGTCAAATCTACAGCTGGAGATACTCACTTGGGTGGAGAAGACTTTGACAACCGCATGGTCAACCATTTTATTGCAGAGTTCAAGCGCAAACACAAGAAGGATATCAGTGAGAACAAGAGGGCTGTGCGTCGTCTCCGTACTGCTTGTGAGCGTGCTAAGCGCACTCTCTCTTCCAGCACCCAGGCCAGTATTGAGATTGATTCCCTCTATGAAGGAATCGACTTCTATACCTCTATTACCCGTGCCCGATTTGAGGAATTGAATGCGGATCTGTTCCGTGGCACCCTGGACCCTGTGGAGAAGGCCCTTCGGGATGCCAAGCTGGACAAGTCTCAGATCCATGATATCGTCTTGGTGGGTGGCTCAACCCGCATCCCCAAGATTCAGAAACTTCTCCAGGACTTCTTCAACGGGAAAGAACTGAATAAGAGCATCAACCCTGATGAGGCTGTTGCCTATGGTGCAGGTAATCTCTTTAAACAGCAGTTAGGAGGCCCAAGCTAAATTTCGCTGTGATGAATGATTTTTAAACATTCGTAGTTTCCACCAAAAGCTTTAGCTGGTGATGGCAAAACTTCCTTGGATGTCTGAGCGATTGAGAATTGTTAGTAAGATAATGAGTTCAACTGTGGTTTTCCTTAAAAAATAATTTCCTTTTTATAATATAGCTGTTCAGGCAGCCATTTTGTCTGGAGACAAATCTGAAAATGTTCAAGACTTGCTGCTGTTGGATGTCACTCCTCTTTCCCTTGGAATTGAAACTGCTGGTGGAGTCATGACTGTCCTCATCAAGCGCAATACCACCATTCCTACCAAGCAGACGCAGACTTTCACCACCTACTCTGACAACCAGCCTGGTGTGCTCATTCAGGTAAGATGGCTCAGTTTGGCTTACTTGAGCTGCTATAAAATTGGGCAGGATTTGTTCTGCTGTGATGATGGATTCCAAAACCATTCGTAGTTTCCACCAGAAATCCTGTGTTGGCCAACTCCTTCCTTGGATGTCTGAGCGATCAGTCTTGCCTAATCCAGCTTATCGAAATTTAAGCTAACAGAGAAACCGAGTTTTCTTCTGTAACATAAAATGTAATTTCTATAGGTTTATGAAGGTGAGCGTGCCATGACCAAGGATAACAACCTGCTTGGCAAGTTTGAACTCACAGGCATACCTCCTGCCCCACGTGGTGTTCCTCAGATTGAAGTCACTTTTGATATTGATGCCAATGGCATTCTCAATGTCTCTGCTGTGGATAAGAGCACAGGAAAAGAGAACAAGATTACCATCACTAATGACAAGGGTGAGTTTGGGCTACATATTGTGTGTATAGTGAGATCTGGTTTTAAGAGGTTGGAGTTTGGGTTTTATTTTCCCAAAAAAAGTGTTTTCTGAAGAGTATTTAGCCAAGTGATGACACTGGAGTTGCAGGGTAGTAGTTAATTCTTGAATAAAAGATTGCATGTAAAACACTGCTTAATCTTGCAGGCCGCTTGAGCAAGGAAGATATTGAACGCATGGTTCAAGAAGCAGAGAAGTACAAAGCTGAAGATGAGAAGCAGCGGGATAAGGTGTCTTCAAAGAATTCGCTTGAATCCTATGCCTTCAACATGAAAGCTACTGTTGAGGATGAGAAACTTCAGGGCAAGATTAATGATGAAGACAAACAGAAGATTCTTGACAAGTGTAATGAAATAATCAACTGGCTGGATAAGAACCAGGTTTGTAATTATTGCTAGAAACTTGAGGGTGTGGGGTTTTGTGTCTTAAGGGCTTTAGCAAAAACTTAGGTTGGTTTTATAAATTGAGGTCACAAGGATGAATGGTCCAAAACATTCGCGGTTTCCACCAGAACACTAGGTGTTGGCAATTCCTTCCTTGGATGTCTGAGTGACCCAAGACCTCCAATGTAACCTAAATGCTGTTTAGTGTCAGGTTGATTGTATCGAATTTAACGTTCCATTTAAACAGTTGATGGTAATAGAATGTTATTTCTTTTTAGACTGCAGAGAAGGAAGAATTTGAACATCAGCAGAAGGAGCTGGAAAAAGTCTGCAACCCCATCATTACCAAGCTGTACCAGAGCGCAGGAGGCATGCCTGGAGGAATGCCAGGAGGAATGCCTGGGGGCTTCCCTGGTGGTGGAGCTCCTCCATCAGGTGGTGCCTCCTCTGGGCCCACTATTGAAGAGGTTGATTAGGCCAGCCTAGCATAGATCTAGCATTGTTCCACACAAAACATGGAAGGACCCAAATTTGTAGCAATTCCCGTGGCAGTTATGAAGTTGAGCTGCTATAGTAAATAACTGGGCATTCTTGATACTTGAACATGGAATGTGTGTGCACATGGAAAAACATTGCACTTTACAAGCACTGTATTGTAAGTGGAAAAATGCAATGTCTTAAATAAAACTGTATTTAAAATTGGCACCATAAAGTTGTCTGACTCTGCTTACAAGGGTAGTAAGTGTTTGGCTTTGGGAATTATTTCTCTGGCTAAACATTATAACAGTATATTGTTAGATTGTTCAACCTAAATGAATGCTTAAAGACTTTGAATTAAGGTAAAGTGGGAAAACAAACATTTCCGTCACTGTACTGTGACATAGTCTGTACTCTGACAGTGCTTAGTTTGTTACTACTGATGCAGTTTGAAGTGTAGATGCTGATGCTTTGTGGTGTCAGGCAGCTCAAATGTTCAGTAACTTGTGGTTGACTGAAACAGTCTAGAAAACATTGAGGCGAAAACTGGGCAAGGGAATGGATAACAGGTCACAAATCTGTGCAACTAGACCATCTTGCTGTGAAGCCCTGTTAATCTACTGGCAGAGGCTTTTTTGTTTCCCAACTTGAGGCTTAGAAGTTGGGTGTTGTGAAGCTGGCTGTTAAGGTTGGCATAGTGAGGGCCTTTGCCCATCATGTAATCAAGTTTGAGAAATTGGGCATCTAATTCTGATTTCATTTTAAATCATAGCCAGCCTTAACTCAGGAACTTGAGAGACAGAAGCTGATTCTGAACAGTTGTGCTTATCAAGCCTAATTACACTGGATTGCCTTTAGGTAAGCTTTCTTGGGGACGGAGACCTCATTATACCTTGGCGGTTTAAGCTTGAGTTGATAGACTCAAACGAATGTTGGGCTATGGGTCTAAGGTCTTGCATCTAGGAATGTGAATCCTGTAAAGTCATTGTGAGTTAATATGGGTGTTCCACATTTGCAACCCCATGGACTATGTCCCACTAGATTTCTCTGTCCTTGGGATTTTCCAGGCAAGAGTACTGGAGTGGGTTGCTGTGCCCTTATTAGGGTATCTTAACTGCCTGGGGATGGAGCCCATGTCTCTTAGGTCTCCTGTGTTGGCAGGTGGGTTCTGTAATAACTAGCACCATCCATGTGCTCGTGATTCCTGCTTAACCACCAGTCTGCCATCTAGTGGTCGTTTAGGGAAAAAAAACTAGGCCAGGGTTGGTGGTCCAAGTCAGTTTAAGCTCAGAGTGACCAATGGAAGAAGGCAATGGCACCCCACTCCAGTACTCTCTTGCCTGAAAAGTCCCATGGACAGAGGAGCCTGGCAGGCTGCAGTCCTTGAGGTCCCTGAGTCAGACACAACTGAGTGACTTCATTTTCATTTCTCACATTGGAGAAGGAAATGGCAACCCCCTCCAGTCTTGCCTGGAGGATCCCAGGGACTGGGGACCCTGGTGGGTTGCTGTCTATGGGGTCACACAGTCGGACATGACTGAAGCAACTTAGCAATAGAGTGACCATAAACCCCAGGCTGCTTCAGGTCTCTAGCTTGTGTAGTTTTTGGTTCTTGAGTGACCCAACTAACTTGGTTTGGAGTTCGAAAGAATGTTTCTGCATTAAGTAACAAGTTTTATTTTCGGGTTAGTGGGTATAGCCAGGAGGCTGTCATTGGTAAAACAGTTGGAAGTTTAGTAAGAAAAGAATTCAGTGAAGACAGTAGTGCATATCACATTGGCTATTTTGTGACTTAGGTGTTAATGGTTCGACATTGCTCCAGGAAGTTTTGAGCCAGCAGTGAAAGTTTTCACCAGTTCATGAAGGTGACCTGGGTTTGGTGCAAACCCTATGGGGCAGTTTTGGATTTTTGGTTTTGGTTTTTTTTTTTTTTTAGTTTTGTCTAATCTTGGTGAGAAAATTGGAGATGAAATGTGACAGTGAAGCACAAGACCTAGCCCAATCAAAGGTTATCAGTGGTAGCTATTACTACAAGTTGAACAAAATACATGTTTTCAATGAGACAAATAAAATGCACTATTTCCATTACACAGATGGAGGAAATGATGCATTGCAGGGCTTGTATAATAGGGTTTGGCAGAAGCTAGGGATTACCTCGGAGAAGACAATGGCAACCCAATCCAGTACTTTTGCCTGGAAAATCCCATGGACGGGGGAGCCTGGTAGGCTGTGGTCCATGGGGTCGCTAAGAGTCGGACACGACTGAGCGACTTCACTTTGACTTTTCACTTTAATGTATAAGCTAAGGAAATGGCAACCCACTCCAGTGTTCTTGCCTGGAGAACCCCAGGGACTTGGGAGCCTGGTGGGTTGCCGTCTATGGGGTCGCACAGAGTCAGCCACGACTGAAGCGACTTGGCAGTAGCAGCGCAGGGATTACCTATTTGCTAGTTATACTGATGTCTGTATTTAGTCTGAAAAGAATGCATATGAGGACTCTTATGAGGTTGAGTAAACTTGAATTACACTGGGTGAAGAGAGCCAGTCAGGCATGTAAGTATTGGGTAGACTTTATTCTAGAACTCTGGTCTTGCATACCAGTGTATCGGCACTGGCTCATCTTAGTGTAGAGCTGGGCTTCACGTTTACTGAGAAAAAAAAAATTTTTTTTTTTTAAAGCAAGGGAGTTTGTAATCTGAGAAAAATTGGAGTTACGTACCCAGGTGGCACTAGTGGTAATCTGCCTGCCAGTGCAGGAGATGGAGAGATGCAGGTTTGATCTCTGGGTCAGGAAGGTCTGGATGAAGGCATGGCAACCCACTCCAGTATTCTTGCCTGGAGAATCTGACAGGCTACAGTCTGTAGGGTTGCAAAGAGTCAGATAGCACTGAATAGATTTGGCATGATTTTGGTTCCAGTGTTCATCAGATACCTAACAAGTTCCCTGTTAGGTGTTTCCCCCCTCACCCCAGTCTTTGGTGTTCAAACTGGGAGACTTACCTTTTGTAGGAAGTTGAAGTAATTTGAGGTTTTGAGAAACCCAATGACGGAAGTCAATTTTTGTCTTTCACTTTGTGTTAGTGTTTTTTAATTTCTTGCTGTGGGCTAAGCCCTGACAGCAGTAGATGCAAAAGCTGGTAAAGGTGTGTTCCAGCCTTATAAACGTCTAGGGTAGTAGCAGAGACTGCCATGCACAAGATGAAGACAGTTACAAGGTGGCATCCTTATTGTGGGAAGACACTAGCAATGTGTATAAATTAGGTTGTTTATTACAGTTTAGGAAAAGATGTGGAGAAAGCAGCCATAAGAACAGCATTTTTTCCATTCAGTTTAGATGAAGCTAAGTGGTTTCCATTTAATCTTACTTTATTTGATTATCTTTTAACAACCGTAGAACGACTGTTGGGTCATCTGGCTGTGCACGCTTTGGATGACCAAAGCACCTTTACTTCTGTGTGGATTATTGTAATGTGGTTATAAAGAGTCATGCCTCTGGATGCCTGCCTTTTAAATTTTGCACAAGGTGCCATTGACTTGGGAAGAGAGCAAAAAGTTCAGGGTCCCTCAATCTCCGTGTCCACTTTTAAGAGTTACACGCTCTTAGCAGCTGGACTTACTAACACTTAACAATGTTATGGTTGTGTTTAGAAATGTGTTTTTTTTTTTTTAGAAATTATTTTTATTACTCTAGTTGAGTAATGTTAATTGTACTTATAAACTACTAAAAAATAATTTTTGTCTTTAAAAGCCAGAGCCATACATTTACTCCTAAAAATACTATTGCAGTCTTTGTGTACTTAAAATGTACTATAAAGAAAATGATGCCTGCAAACAATGCTTTGCTCCAACAATACTGGGTATTTGATTGAACAGTATTGTTGTACAATATACCTTCATAGAACAAATCGTGTTTTCAGTTCTATTAAGATGGAATGGAATTGGTGAGGGAGAGGGAGTCCTGGCATGCTGCAGTCCACGGGGTTGCAGAGTCAGACACGACTAGGCAACTGAACAACAACCAGGTGGAATGGAGTGATTGGTGGGACAGACTGGAAAGGTTGAGGGTTTTCCTTTCAGTAGTCTATGTATGGCTGTAAGGACATCTTTATCCACTAGATGGCAGTAAGCAATTTAGAAAATGACAGCTGAGGGAGGCTGCTGGAACATTTTCACTTAGGTTTGTGCTTTTTGTTTGTTTCACAATTTGCCTAACTGGAAGCACAGTAAATGCTGAGGAAGGAAGTCAGCCTCAAATGTTCACATTCACGTTCCAGGCAAAGCATTCCCAGCTGAGTAAGTTGAACAGGTGCCCTGATGGGATGTATGGGTTTAAGTAGAGATTTTAGGGTAACTTGAGACAAGTAGGTCAGATACAGAGCTTTGAAATGTGCAGGGATGAAGGGAAAAAAGGGGAGTCTCCGTGGGAAGAGAAAATAGTCTTTCCTGATCCTTTCATGGTCCATTTTCCCAAGTTTAAAGTGTTAATGTTATTTCCCTCATCACCCTTGACTCTGACTCCTTAGACTCTCAGTACCTGTATGAAATGTTTGAATTCCTCACTAAACTCAAGCTCATGAATGAATGTAAGAATATCCACACACTCCCGTATGATATCTGGCACATTATATTAGCATGTAATAGCAAATAAGGGGTGGGGCAGGTACCCAAGAGGTGAGTGGTAGAAGATGTTCTCTTTGGGCTTTACGATGGTTTGGTCATGGCTCTTGGAGTGGTGACAGGCTGGCTGGGTTCAGACTCCCTACAGATCTTTGCTACAGTTGCTTATTGCAGAGCTGGGGAGCCAAATTAGGGCTGCATGAGGTTAGGAAACAAGCCTGGAAGAGCTCTAGCCAAAGGAGACTTGGCAGTAACAGTTGTCGATCTTTGTCCTAAGGAAGGGACCGCTTGCTCTCTTTAGATTGCTTCTGAGATCTGGGTGATATGGGGAATGAATGTGCTGAGCAGTATGAGGACAGTCAGGGCTTGCCAGGAAGACTGAGGCCTGTCCTAATAAGCTGAGCTATAGTTCATAGGATGTAGCTAACCCAAGGGCCCTAAGGAAAAGACTGTGGATCTTCTTGACCTTGGATTAGACACAAAACAACAAGCAACAAAAGAAAACAGATATGTTGGACTTCATAAAAATAAAAAATGTGCTTAAAGTGACACCATCAATGAAATGAAGAAAGGCAACCCAGAGAATTGGGGAAAATACTTGTGTATGTGCTCAG